CAAGATGGCCGTCCCCAGCGCCCACCCTTTCCCTCAAGTAGAGAGACACGGGGGGGGGCGCAGAGGGACTACATCTATCAGAGCGATGACGAACCAAAGAGGAGAAACGTGCTTCAGGTGTTTTCTGCTTTGTGACTCTTTAACTCCTCCTCCTCCTCTCAGGCCACTCCCCCAGAGGAGCAGCACAGCCGGGTGGCTCCGCCCCCCACAGCTGCTCTCAAACTACCCACACCGAGCATCAAGAAGACCTTCAGTGTGCAGGTGACACACACACACCTCCCTCTACTTGTCCTCAGAGGGAACTGCAACAACAAACACAAAGGCGCAGCAGTCCGTTTCTACCCAGAACTCCTGTTTCTGTTTTTGGGTTTAATGTATTTATATATTTGTACAGCAGAAAATCTGTGTACATGACCTTTGACCCTTCACATGAACACAAGTAAAACATGGAGGAAAAACCAAGCTCAACAAAGACTTTCCATTTCCCACACGGGTCTGTGCCCCCCGGCCCCCCATTGACTGAGGTGTGTGGCGTCTGCAGGTGAGCGCCGAGCCGCCGGTGTTCCTGGAGGTGGAGAACGAGGTGTCGCTGGTCGCCGGGTCCAAGCTCAGCCAGCTGCGCTGCTCCAGGGACGGACGGGAGTGGAACACGCTGCTGCCCAGCTCAGTGGTCACGGCAGCAGGGAGCAGGTACGAGACCCTCGAGGAGGGGGAGGGGTCTGAGGGCCGAACAGGCTACTCGTGTAGCTCCACCCACAACGTTAAAGGGATGGACACTTGAACGCATCGGTGTTTCCCTCCAGCGACGTCCTCGCCGTGGCCTGCCAGGACAGGATGTTGTCGGTCTTCTCGTCTTGTGGGCGGCGGCTCCTCCCGGCCATCCAGCTGGCCACGCCCACCTCGGCCCTGCACTGCTCCGCCCACTTCGTCATGGCGCTGACGGCCGGAGCGACGCTGTCCGTCTGGTCAGTGACTGTTTTTGTGACTCTTTTTACTGATTAGATGTTTCTGTGGGGGGGGGGGCAGGGGGGGCGTGTTCTCAGCATGGCGTCCGGCGGCTCTCGTTGATCAGCTGACCAGCTGTCCTTTGTAAACAGCTGTTTCTCTCTGCAGGGACGTTCAGAAGCAAAAAGCTCTGGTGAAGAACGAGTCTCTGCTGAGCATCTTATCAGGTGAGCAGGAAGAGACGTGATGAAGAGGACGTCAGTAGAAGCGTCTCAGTCTCACTCTTCATCTCTACGCGTTTGAGTGACAGGTGCCGACGCCACGGTGTCCCAGTCGCTGCTGACCCAGCAGGGGGTCCCGGTCATCGGCCTGTCCAACGGGAAGTCCTACTGCTTCAGCTCCTCGCTGGAGACATGGTGAGACGCGTTGCCATGGAGACACGACGGAGTGGGACTGGAGTGGTGTAACCCCTCCCCCCCCTTTGTCTCTCAGGACTCTGGTAGCAGACAAAGGAGACTCCATGGTCCAGTGTGCCGACTTCAGGAGCTGCCTGCCTACCCACGATGCACCTGTGTCCTCGGGACCACTGGCTGTTATGCAGGGACGCAACCTCAAGTAGGACACCACACCATAAGGGAGGGGGAGGGTCTAATGGCATCTCACGGTCCAATCAGAGGGCTGCGATGCCGTCATACCTCCTTATTTGATTCCTAGTTGTAAAACAGATCTGTAGCGTCCCTTCAACTTGGAATAAACAGGCTTGGGAGGGTTTCCAGACGGGTGTACTTTAATTGAGATGAGCACCAACACCGTGAAAACCAAAAAAGGGAAATAACAAAGGCAATTTAGCCAGATACAAAATAATCCTTTGACAAATGCACTTTAGCATACATGGATAACAGCATAGCAACAGTCATTATATGAAATGAATTTACATGAAATACAATCACAATGAAGCACATACCTCGCTCCGCATATCAAAGGCTGCTATAAAGTGGTGATCCAGGGAAGTCCGCCGCCATTAGCTTAACTTATTAAGTTGCTAGCTAGCTTCTCGTGTCTTCTATTGAACAAATGTGAGCATGCGCATGAGCGCGAGCGATTAATCACGTGAGCAGATAGTATGATGTCAAAATAAAAGTCACATAAAATCTAAGTAGGAAACAGGATCATCAAAATAAAAGAACACTGCTAGTGGTCATTTACAAGATCAATTTATTGATAACAACACGAGCAACAAATCAGAGATGTGTTGAAGTATAAGACCCGTAAAGTGTCTCTACGTCTCGTCCCTGCAGCGCCGGGCGGCTGGCGTCCCGCCTCTCCTCCACCCCCCACCACCTACAGCAGAGCATGACGCTGGCCTTCCTGGAGAACCAGCTGACGTCGGCTCTGACGCTGCAGTCGGCGGCGGAATACCGTCACTGGCTGCTCATCTACGCCCGCTTCCTCGTCAGCGAAGGTACGCCCCAAAGACGCTCCCTGAGGACGCTCGCTGTAGAGGAGCGCTTTCAACACGTGTGTGTGTGTGTGTTTCCCCCCCCAGGCTCTGAGAATCGTCTCCGAGAACTCTGCAAGGAGCTGCTGGGTCCCGTCCACAAATCAGCCGCCACGGCGTGGGAGCCCAGCACGCTGGTAGAGAAACTAGTTCCTCCCACACAACCTCTCGTGTCTTTAGACCTTAAACACTGAGAGGACACGAACGCTGTGCTTCATTTTACTCCGTCAAGTGAAACGCTTGACTGAGTTCATTTGAGTTCCGCTCTGGTCGCCAGTTACAGGGCTTTTATTGTGAAAGGTAAGCGCAGAAGCAGTGGGTCTGGTTTGAAGGAGCTGTAGAGGGATCACTGGGGTCCTCCAGAGACTCTGAGGACATGAAGGGACGTCCTCCCTGCATCTGATGTACTCTAGGCCGTGTTGCTAACAGCTAGCTAGCGGTGCTAACGTGCGTCTATGTGTTCAGGGCCTGCGGAAGCGCGAGCTGCTGCGGGAGGTCTTACCCGTCATGGTGGAGAACCTGAGGTTCCAGAGACTGTTCACCGAGTACCAGGACCAGCTGGAGCTGCTGCGCACCAAATAACACACACACACACAGCTGGACTCATCGTGAACTCTGACCCCTCGTGTCCTCAATGGGGCGAAATACAACAACACACACAATGCTGCTGTTGTTGTTGTGATGAACTTTGAGACAGTCGCTTCTCAGAGGGAAGAAGTGGTTGTTCTTCTTATTTCAATCTCACTTTGGGGTGAAAGAATTAAATCTCCAGGATGTTGCTGATTTAATGAACGAGTTCATCGCTCTGCAGAGTGGATCCAACTTCATCTCTACGGCCATTTTTGTTCGTTTTTAAATGTTTGTACAAGGCAGACTTTTTTTTCAACTTTCTAAAAGAACAGAAATGTGCAGAACTTTTTCTTTCAAAGAAATAAAGTAAACAAACGGTGTGTGTGTAAAATGAGTTTTCTGACCCACAGTCATGTGACTAACCTGTGATCAGCTGATGCTCCAGCAGCTACTGACCGACCTTCTGTTCCCACTGAGTCTGAAGAAACGCCTCAATCATCTTAATCAAGCCTCTCCTCGGCTGCTTTTATTGTGAAACTCTTAAAACTCATTGTGAAACCCAAACCCCGGCCAAGTTGTTTATTGTGAAAATCTTGACACAAACAGGAAGCTGATGTTCCAGTCTCTCTGATGGATGATGCTGAGTTCTTCTCTTCTCATGTAAGTCTCGCTCAGAGGATCTTTGTCTGTTTCAGTACAACAAAGTTTAGTTCTTCCACTCAACTAAAGAACATCTGTTAGCAGAGACACTTACTACAAAATAAAAGCTGGTGAGGACACCGAGGTGCTTGAATGTGGAAAAGAACATTGGACAAACGTGCAGAAACACCAGGATGTTTATTTATTCCTTCTGACAGTTTTCTAGCCAGCGACTCTTTAGGACAGATTATGCATCCAATTTAAACACTGATGATGTGAGAAGTATTAGAAGATACAGACAAGTTAAAACATCTTGATATTCATTTAGATATTTGAATAAAATTTGAAGGATTCATTTTTCTTCCATAAACACTCTTTACACAATATGTGGATTTATTCAAATGTATGAATGAACAAATGCATTTTAAATAACGATCATTTCTGGTTAAAGATCATCTGCAGAGAATCGTTGCATCCTAAATTTCAAACGTTGCATGATTTGTCAACCGCACCAAGGAAACTTGCAGCGCTTCTTTTGAATAAGAGCACAATTCAAATTGGATTTAGTTTTTTTTGTGCTCTTCAGCTTGTAGACCACATCACACCGGAGACCGGACTGAGGCTGCTCTGATCTCTTCGTTATCTCTGTTACCTTAAAGACCTCGTAAGGAGGAATCAGCACCTCCGCTTCGTTCTCAAATTCAGAGTGTTCCATGACGTCTGCTCCCATGCACGTGTAGATTTCAAAGCACGACTTGTCTCCAAAATCTGTGAGGTCGTCTCTCAGCGAGGAGGAGGCAAAGGAGCTGAAGCGAACCTCCTTGTTGAGGACGTCTTGGCGGAAGAACACGTTCGTCCTGCGGTAGACGTTGTAACACTCCTTCTGTAGAGCATTAAGTTTTTGCACGGCTCTGGTCAGATAAAAGTGCAGCGCGTGGTACTTGAATGCGGTCTTGTACTTGGGTCCCTGCTCTCTGGTGGCCTTATTAAAACCAGGATACGTTGTATCTGAGGTGTAAACACTAAGAGCCGTAATCTCTTCTTTGCTTAAGACTTTGGTTGGTTGATTTGCCTTCAGTTCCTCCCAGATCTGATTAAACACCTTGTTGTCGTTCCGCTCTTTCTTTAGGAATTCTACGGCCTTCTTTTCCATTTCAGCGGCGCAGCCTTCGTACATGTCGTCCACAGAGTTCGGGGCCATGTCCAGTGGAAGTGGAGGGGGAGCGACCGGCTTACGTCCAGCAAGCAACTTAACAGGAATAAATGGAATCATGAGAATACATTGACCCATCAGCAAATGTTACAGTGAAACAAACCAGCTTGTACTTTACCATCAAGTTTCCTCCAGAGACGCCGTACGGGAGGAGCACCACCCACAGCACCGTCACTGCCATCATCATCTTCATCCTCATCGTCCTGCACAGACACCTGCAGACAGCGACTGACGGAGGAAACCATCTCTGGGTATTTATGGAGTGGAGCAGAGACAAATGTCATTGGGGGAGTGAACTGTCATCGTGACCATAAAGGAAGTTAAACAGTGAGTGTAAGAAGAAGAGAAATGGGGCAAATCGATGTGTCGGATAAACAGCACCATAAAAGGTAAAGTAGTGGCTGGTGAGCTTCGTTTGAGGAAGACGTCTCTGACGTCTCTGACGAAGCTGCTTCAGTTGAGCTGAATAATGCGACACGTGTCAAAGAATCTCTCACCACTTCATCCCTTTTTTTAACTCAATTTTTTTAAATTTTCTGTGGATCATTATTGGATCAATGTATCCCTTTGCTATCTGTCGTGTTGATATCTTCTTGTTTTGAGAAGATAAGGGCCAATGAACTTCGTAAGGGGTGTGGCTTAATCTTGCAAGAGTCATAACTTCCAAATAATTTTGCCTGCCCTCACCAAACGTGTATCACATGTGAACATTGAACCCCTGAACACACCCTGACTTTTTAAGAATATTTGAAAAATAGGGGGCGCTGCAATTAATCGTTGAAAATCTTCCCTTTTGGCCAATTTTCGTGATTTCTTAGAGCTGTAAAAGACTGAACTCCTCTCAGGGATTAAACCCGATTCTTTTCAAATTCGCACAGTGTGATCTCGAGGACCGTAGCTCTAAAAATTGCATTTTGCCGGAAGAAATTCCAAACTATGTGTGTAGGGAGCATTTTTGAAAACCCCCATTCGGCATGAAAATTGAAGTTGTTTTAACTCAACCATACTTTATCTCATCTGCTCCATATTTCTCATATAGCATGAACTTCTCACCCTGCAGACGTCCATGAGATAATTTTTAACCTTAGGCATAGCGCCACCTGGTGAAAACAGGAAGTTGATTGTCTTTTCTGTTGTACACCCTGCTCCTCACAGGTTATGCTCCTCAAAGGTTAATCTGATCCCTCTCAAAAATTCCCAGCAGAATGTTAAGACCTTAATAATGCCTCAGTGTGAAAATGATAAGAATCCGATAATCGGTGGCGAGAAGGTGCATCGGCAAAGCTGATCCTTCGCCAAGAACAACTAAACCGTTGTAACTCTACCGAACATCATCGGATTCTTTCCAATTTACACATGTTTGATGACACTTTGGGCCTGAAGAGATGTAAAGTTGAATCAAGTCATAGCGCCACCTAATGGTAACCAGAAGTCAGTTTCTAGTATCCAGTAAAATACCATGGTGGTATTTAGAGAGGCTTTTATTTTAAAATAGTACATCATAATGTCCTGGTTATTGCTGGGTAACACCTTGGGGATGTGTACTATCCGTCTGAAGTGAAATGATCATGTAACTATTGATAGTTTACTTTTCCAATGTAATTCGAAACAGACCAGATGTGTTCTTGTGATTGACATTTTGGCTCATGTATGGTATTTTGAGAGACTTTAATTTTGAAATAGTACATCAGAATGTCCTGCTTATCCCTGGGTGACACCGTGGGGATGTTTACTATTAGTCTGAAGTAAAATAATCATGTAACTATTAATAGTTTCCTTTTAATCCTAACCTGAACTTGAACAAAAGTAGTCTCGTGATGGAGAATTTA